TAAAAAATCATTGAGTCACACAGAATTTTCCTCCATATTTTTCTGAGATCTCCCATGTTCTCTGTTTTTCCAATGTCTATTACTGGCCATCACTTTATCCAGTTTTATAATATCCATATTTTTTTATCACCGTGAATGTTTCACTTATTTAATACTAATGTGAGTAAGTTATCAGCAACGTGAAGTTATATTTTTTTTTAACCTTCCTCAAAAGCTGTAAGATAATTAAAAATATGTACATACACACAATTGATAGTATATGACAGATTCCATGGACTGGGGCAAAAAACTTTCCTGCTCACTGATGCCTGAAATTGCTTCACCTGGGCCAGGTTTTTCATTCTAACTCAGGGATAAAGTTTAAAGATGAAAACCTTAGGAAGGGTCTTAATGGGCAAGGATGCATTTGGTACCTGAAGAGGAAGATGGAGAAGACACCTAGCAGGGCAAGAACAACAGCTTCTGTTTACAGCTTCCTGAGCAATTTTTCTTCTGCTATGGAAGAGAAAACTTGGGTCATGAGAGCTGTATAAGTCTGAATTGTTAGTAAATAAAAATATAACACTACGTTATGCATCATAACTGCCTTAAAGTCCCTTCTTTCCCTTGTCTTAGTCAAATTTTGTTCCTGTATTGCCCATATATATTCTTTTCTTCATTTTCTTCAGGCTTGATATTCCCTTTCTCCCTATAAATCTTCTTAGGCTGCTCCTTATATGTGAAGAACATATTTCTCTTAGGCTTTTTTTCAGCAAAATCCCTCTCTTGCAAATTTGTTTTCAAAATTATGTTTTGCCAAATCTCTTGAATGCGGTCCCCTAATAAAATTCTCTCCCTAGGAGAAAGCATGAGAGATGGCTCAAGGAGGGAAGAGAAATGAAACTGAAGCCAGCAATATCTCATTTGAGAAGCCCCCTTCCTTCTCGCTTTTTTTTTTTCTGATGTGTTTATTTAGTCTGTTTCCTCTTTTGTCCTTCAACTGCATTCCCAGGGGACGAGCTCTGTCCCCCGCTTTTTGATGTTCTCAAAACACCCTATAAATAATAGGAGCACCTGGTTTGTTGTAGTTTTCTAATGTTATCTGAATTGCTTACCTTATACGTATTTTTTTCACAGTGATAAATATCCACACTGTCCTGATTCAACATCTGTTTTCAATGAGGGACACAGAGTTGATGTTAATTCAATTGTTCAGAACACAGAACACAAAGCCTAAGATACGGATCTAAATGTGGTCATTGCCCATCCTCACTCTGCACCTGAAATTGAAATTCCAGCCATATTTTATCTGAGAACCTCTATTTCAAATAAAAGTAAAGGAAAAAAGTCAAGGTGAGAGTTGTGTTGGGATTCTAAGGTAAAAATAGGTGTTAATAGAATTGAAGAAGATAAGGCACATAGATTTGCTTCATAAAATATATTTATGTACAACTATAATAATGTGTTATATTGACAGTTGATTTTTTTTATCTTTGTGGTAGCATGAGGCCCTGAATCCAATTCCCAGCAACACAAATGCACACACATACAAAGATACTTTAGTTTTTCCCTATGATTCTTGTTGGGCGTAATTATGAGTTGCTAAAGAAAATGCGTGAAGAATTTACTCGGTCAATATCCATAATGTGTACTGAACTTCATTTTATTATCTTTATTCCCTCACATAAGGGAATAAGCCAGGCAGGTTCACATAATGGCCAGTTTATGTTCTTTTATCATAAAAACAAACAAACAAAGTCTATTAACTCATTAAACAATGTGATATTAATCGATAAAAAATTATATCTGTTAAAATTAATTGAAATGTTCCAGTTTATAATGTCAAAAACACTGAACATTTGGCTAGTTTACAACCTTTATTTTCTTTCTTACTAACATAGTTAAATCTCAGTAACATCTCTGACAGGATAGGAAAACCAGAGTATTACACTTACCCAGTGATGACCAAACTGGGAACCAGGAAAATATACAATCAGAATGACAACCAGCAGTGTGCTGTCAAATATTTAGGAGTCCACTCTCCTGGTGGGTGGTGGGGATGGATCCCAGAACCCTGATCTGTGGCGTCTGCCAATTCTTACGTGTAAATACTCCCTTCCTGGTTGATTTTAATTTGTGAAGCTGGAGGACACATGCATAATGGTTTCTTAGAACTTGAGCTGGGTACCCCATCGTGTAATGCAATTGAGCCTAGCACCTTAAAACAAGGAGGAATTCCTTGGACAGATATGGCTTATGGTGGTATGCATGGAGTACAAAGAGCAGACCCCCTGTGAAGATTCCTGAGGGTAGGGTGGGGTTGCAATGGAATTTGAATGCCCGCCCTTCAGAGTGCTGCATTTTCTAGCCCTGGTTATGATTCCTGAGGAATTCTCTCATCTTGGTTCAAAGGTGAAACTCCAAGGGGAGACTGATTGACCCAGTTGGGTCTCTTGTCCCAGATCAGGGCATCTGATACTGCTGTTGGGGCCTCACCATCTTGTGTCACAGCAGTTTCTAGAGGAGCAGGAATTGCAGTCCCCTTAAAGTTCCCCCTGAAATAGGTCTCAGGCATCTCATACGTTTAATTGCCTGGTCAAGGGCCACTGCACCCCCTTTCCAATCCATATAATCATTCCTGCTTGAGATCAGGCTTTTCAGGATCTGATTAGATTCACAGGCCTCCAACGTGAATCTAATCAGCATTAGTACTTCTATATCTTAGTACATCTGCACATTAGGACAGCCATCGGAGAAGAGGAGAAGAGGGAAAGAGAACTTTTATTTTAAAATAAGAAAAAAAAATTTACAAAGGAGAAATTTCAGGAAACCATGTGGAATCGATTACGCATGTACAATTCTGTCCCCTTCCCAAACCCCACTAAAATGACAATTACAGAGAACTTAAAGGCAGGGACCCATAGGATAAAAAGACTAGGTGTGAGAGAACAGCAACACAATTTTGGAAGCTAGAAAGGAAACCAGCAAGTGGTAAGTGAATTAGCAATGCAGAGGAAATTGAAATATAAGCTGAGAAAGAAAAGCCAAGTTGAGTTATATCACAGAAGTTCAGAAATGGGACTTTTTGGAAATGGAAAGCACCATCTACCTCTGAAAATGGGATCTGTGTGGGATAGGCACAGAAAGAGTGTCTGGAAGAATTTATGTGAAGCAGTGACCCACAGGTTCCCTCCTTCATTCCATCCATTTCAATCCGGATTCCAGTTCTCCTTCCCTGCCAGAAGGCAAGAGATTTATTGTAAGGAGATTCTGAGGCAGAGGAAATAGAGGCTCGGGAATTCCCAGCTGACAATGAGGGTACTGAACTTTAAAGTTCTTGTACTGAACAAGAACTTTAAATGAAACACTGCGTACTTTATAGGAACAAGAGACCTCCTCACCTCTTAATTATCTGGATCTAGAATTCCTGCAGCTAGATTCATACCCCTGAGAGAGAGAAAGAGAGAAAAGCCTTTCCTGACAGCTAAGAACTGGCCTGGCAGAATCATCACATCCTTGGTGGACTAGGTGCCAGAGCCAGCTACCTGGTATATGAGCAGCACAGTCACACAGAGCCCATGCATAGAAGGGTCTATCGGTAGACGTTTGATGCTCCATCGTCTTTGCTGTCTTGAAATCCTTAATTCTTCATTCAGGTAGAAATGTACTTTGCAAGTGAGGCCAGTGGATCAAGGAGGCATATCCCCCTTGGGCTTGGCCCCTCCACTCAGCTGTGGGTCCACCTCCTGTCACCTTGCTGTGTCTGCCCGCAGAGCAGGTTCTGCTGAGCACTCCTTTGAGTTCTGCCTCCTGTCTACAGACTGCAACTGCTGCTGCCCTGGTCAGGGGCCGAGTCCCATGGCATCCAGAGGGGAGGCTGCCCTGCAGCCCCAGCAGGAGGCCTGGGTGCAGGTATGAGAAAGATAAGAGGTGGACATGAACCAGGGGCTGGCTGTGCTGTGGTGCATTTGGGGCCACTGGGTGGAACCTCTCTCCTCAGCACTATCCAAGTACCAATGTAGGAGCTACAAGCCCTTAGGGAGCCAGTGTCTCATGTCTACTGTGGGTTGTACCCTTACTTTGTTATTTTTTAAGCTTATTTTCTTATTTACCTTAAAAAAATAGTGTGTTAAAGGTGAATTTCTTCAGGCAAATTTAGTTGTGCTTTCTTGAGATGCTCAGGGGTGCTGTTCATCTCTGTTAAGTCAATGCTTCTCAAGGAGTGAGTGGTTAGCATCTTGGTTTGGACTTTTTTTTTTTTTTCCATTACAGAGGTTTCATGTACTTATTTCTACCTGTAAATGCCTGTAGTGTACCCAGTAGTTATGAGAACCCCAAGACATCCCAAACATCTCTTGTATCCTATGGTATCTCTTTGTAAAAAGTTTGATTCAAAACTAAATTTTTGGCTGGGTATGGGGGATAAATGCCCATAAACCCAGTGGCTAGGGAGGCTGAGGCAGGAAGATCGTGAATTCAAAGCCAGCCTCAGCAAAAGTGAGCCTAAGCAACTCAGTGAGACCCTGTCGCTAAATAAAATACAAAATAGGGCTGGGGATGTGGCTCAGTGGTCGAGTGCCCCTGAGTTCAACACTCCCACAACCTGCTCAAAGAAACAACTAGGCTAAATTTTTGGCTGGACAGTTTTGGGATCTCATTGGGAGTTTGAATCAGGGATTTAGGTCCTCATAGGAACCAACCAATGGGTAGTTCCAAATGTTCATGGGAATTTTTCCCTACAATCTACTCAGGCCAAGGGTTGAGACAGCTGATCAGCCCTGCAGTCCCCTGAGTCTGGGGGTATAGGATTTCTTGCTTATTTTCTATAGTGGGCTGTAACTCCCTGGGAGCCCATCTTCATCTGGACTGTCACCTATTACACCCCACGTGAGGCCGACCCTGGGCATCAAGATTTGTTCCTACATCCCCCAAGCTGAGTATGTGGGTTGTCTCCACTTCCTTTATACTTCTGTTGTCAGCATTCCCCAAATCTTCTGTTTCTCTTCCCTTTTATTTTTTAATTTCTATTCTTTTTTTTTTTTTTCCGTGGATCTATCAATGTGAGCTGGGCACACCTAGATGCCGGGTTAAACGACACATTTCTGCAGACATCTGTGACAGTGGATCCCAATAGCTATTTTAAGAAACATATGGCGCCTAATAAAGAAAAACAGATCATCAAGAGTTTCTTATGGTCATCAAAATAAGAAAGGAATAGACATGCTCAGTTTGCTCTCAGGTGACCATTGTGACAGAAGTTCACAATTGCAGAACAGAAATCAGACTTATGGTAAGAAACAGAGAACTCTTAGAATGGGTCAAGTAGGCAGCCATGCTCTTGGTCTCACTTGTTCTCTATTGAAAACTATCAAGAAAAGCCCCAGTGTAGTCACAGAATGTGTGTATTTAACTTCCACGAATGAGCTACCTGGGTCAGAGGAAAGAACGCTCTGGTAATTCTACCTGCTGTCCCACCAAAGTCCGTGCACTCCCAAGTGTCCAATCCAGTGACCCCCCAGGCTCTGACCTTGTGAACATTTTGGGCTGCTGAAAATCACTCCCACCTTGTGGATATCTTATTCATATAAAATGGACCTTAAATGCAAGCCCCACCCTCCTTTGGTGTCAAGTTGATAACATAAGAAATGTGGCGCAGTGGACTTGGAAAAGGTGGAATGTCTGTCTCTGGTTGGGTGATCATCAGGGGTAAAGGTTTTATATATAAGTTTTGCCCAAAAGGGTGACTTTAGAACCTTACCTTGGTACAAAACAATTCCACTGAGATGGAAATTTATTCCCTTCACATAATAATCAATATACCACTTTGATTAGTAAGAGCTTTTCTATACCAGAAACTATAAAAGACTACACATTAACTGGATGAGATGAACAGATGAAGCAGTGTGTATGAAAATCCTTTTTGCTTCCCAAATCTCACTCTAGGGCCAGGATGGTTATTCAATATTGAGGTGATTGAGTTATGGCTAAAATAAGATATTGATACATTCAAGTTTAGCAGATCATGGGAATGTCCTAAAAGATTGAAATCTCATAAAAATGAATTCAGAATCAGATTTTTTTCAGGACTAAAGAAATACTGTCCAATAGGTAGGCCAGGAATTTTTTTTTAACTTCTATAACCCAGTCGATAAATAATGCAAAGGCTTTGTGAGCACACAATTGTAACAAGGAGAGATGAATTGTTCTGGAGGCTGTTTCATTCAGGTTGTGGGACATTAGACACTGGATGTAGAGAATTACTCTCCTAGGAGGTCTGATCAACAACAGAAAATTCCTTAGTACAAAATCCTAACAGAAACAATGCAAACTATTAAGTATAGACTAGACGTTAGAGGCTTCTACAGCAATTTGTTGTTTGAAAGGATGGAATCAGTATAATTAGAAAAGTGGCAACTAACCATCTGTTTCGATATCATGGCATTATGTTGGTGGTCAGCACTATAAAAGTGAACACTCCACTATTTTTAATGAACACCATTTAGGTTTATATGAACATATGACACAGTAATGGAAATTCCATCTAACACTATGCTTTGTGTCTAGAAAGAGGAAAGCGTAGTAGTACACA